GTGTATTTTTACACAAGTTTTTAAACAAGATGAAAATTCTTTTAAACTAAAACCTACATACCTAAAAGTAAACTGTGATATTTTAAAAAAATTGAAAGAAATTATTCCTGATGTATCTAATACTTTATATAAAAGTATTTTTGAAATTATTTTACCGTTGCAAATCAAATGTAAAAACAATTGTTCGGATATGGTAAGTGATGATGATGAACTTTTTAAAGAACTCATAAACTCTATCAAAACTGAATTAAATTCAGTGATAAAAAAGCTATATAAATGCGAAGATTGCATTGTAAATCATCCTTCACAAACAAGACATGATTGCATTATAATAAGTGTTGAGGATAGAATTAAATATATTGGTGAAGATATATTTTTATGTATTAATTTTGAAAATATAAGAGGTTCTTTAAGGCAGAAAAAAATGTTTCATTTATTTTGTAATAGGTTTTTTGAATCGAAATGTTATGAAGATTATAAAAATGCACTAATATAAGTACAGCTATTCTATTTAAATTTCTGTCTTTGGTTGATGTTATGAGTATTTTTTTCCTTATGTTTTTTTAATAGAAATATATTGAAATTTTAGTTTTAATTTTAAAGCAAACATGTATATCAAATATCAGTAAATGGATATTGTTGTTAATTTGATATTAACTAATGAAAGAAAATTCTAAGTATATTTTATGTATAATACAGAAACTTGTTCTTTGGAAATAAATAAATGTATTTAAATAGAAAAGCTTCTTGGTGAAATGAATGTATTTTTATTTTTTATAACAATTTTTTTAAGTATTGTATGTTTACAGTGCAGTATATGTTTCAAGTGATTCACTCGTGTTGAAAATTTAAGAGTTTATGAAGCGATTATTCGCTGAACTTATGTGATATATTTGCGAGGTTTCTTGAATACGAGTAATCTGAAGAGATATTTGAAATCTCATGAAAGAAACATCAGATGTAGTGTATGTCCTAAGAAATTTAAGTTTATAGTTTGAAAAGTCGCGAAGCTTCTCGTCTTAGAATTTTGTAGTGAATAATCACAAGTTCTTTTCATGTAAAAAGGATATGAAAACTAATAAAGTTACTTTTAAGAGTAAATCATGATAAAAAATATTTAGTGAGCATAAGAATTTAAAACAATATGAATCTTTACATCGTATTGAATGTTCGGACATTTTTTCAAGTAAAACAGAATTTGAAGAATATCTCAGGAAACTTTTTTTTTTTTAAATGTTGCCGGTGTCAAAAGAAACAGAAGTATGCTGATGATGATGTTTTGAAACAGCATGATACTTCTCTTCTTATAAATTGCATCCATTGTTTACAAGTGTTTAAAAGAAAAAGTGATCTCTTACACCACATTCGAATGCGACATGGTTTGATACGAATCTTACAAAAACGAAGAAACGTTGACATCGTTAATACGTGCAAGTCTTCTAAAATCGCAAGTCTTAATAGTATGTTCGCAATTGAATCGATTTGCTAGAACATAGAAAATGAACATGTCTTAGATGTACTTCTTGAATATATAAAACTGTAGTTAGTAGGGAAAAAATGAGTTATGATGTAGTTTTACACTGAGTTATGATATCGGTGTTTGAAATGGTAATCAATAGTTACATTTAAAATGTGTCGTGAGTGTGAAAATGCAGAAATAAAAGAGCTTTGGCGAATTTAATAAACGTGGTTCAATGTGGTTGATGGAAAAATTTGTTCCATGTGAATTAAATAGTGTAAGATATATATAATTAAATAGTGTAAGTGAATTAAATAGTGTAAGATATAAGAACCTCTTTCTCTCAATAGTTAATTATTCAATTGTAAGACAATTAAACTTTAAATATATATGCATATAGTACATGTAATGATTAATATTACATTGATTAATGTAAATAACTGATGATATGTGTATTAACATAGTGAATGTTCGCTTTTATGAAGTTCTAAGCATTACTTTAAATACCATTCATAAAACTTTTATCTCATATATACAAACATGACAATATCTATTGAGTTTTCTTTTATTCTTTGGAATGTATGAAAGTTTAAATATTTTCTTTTAATTTAATGTAGATTGGAGTAAAATATCTGCATCTTTCTTCATTTCAATCGGTAATATCTGTATGCTGGTAAAGGTACGTATGTTCGTAAGAATTATACTGTGTCACATTTTTGACAATCTTCTTTCATTCATATTAGCTAATAAGAGAATTATTGAAGTTAGTAAAGTAATGAAAATCAACGTTATTGAAAGAAAACTCTAAAAGCATTTACATTTCCAGAAATATATCAAAGTTCCTTTTCTTAAAAACAGCAGGTGTATCGTAGTTTTTATTTCTATTTCATTAAAAGCTGAACTTGTAAAATAAAAATTTTCTATTAGTGTAAGGTAAACAAAAAGAAAATCAAGAGACAATCCGTATCATGAATGAAATTCAAGTCTTACATCGGATTAAAAAGAAATATTCTGAATCTAAATGTTTATGCCTATTTAGCACAAAATGCGTTTATTTGTGCTATAAATTTAACTAAAACCATTCTTATAACAGTATGTTGCCTTTAAACTGGGTAAAAGTGTTAAGTATATTTTCTGATGGTATTGATATACTTGTCAAAGAAGTTCTAGAAACCTCAAATGTCGAAAGAGCATATGATAAGAATCTCCTTTCCTATCGCTACGTCAGTTACAGGTTAAGGGGTGGCTTGAATGGATAAAGGTAAATGTTTGTGCAAAAATATAGTAGTTCTATTTTGAAATGAGAAATAATTCGCTTTTTGTCAATTAAGGAAACTTGTGGTATTATTAAACAGAATGTCAGTGAAAGACATTGCGTTTGCATAGTGAATTATGAAGGTACTGAAAGGTAGTAAAGAAGGTGAATGAAAGAATTAATTTGAACAAATAAGGTAAGGCTATCATTAAAAGAAAAAAACTGTTTAAAAGATGTATATGTTAGAATTAAAAGTAAGATTTTAAAATTTAAAAAGATGTAACAGAGTAAAACCAAAGAATACTGGTAATTCCCATCTGGAAAACAGTAATTTGAGTACGATATATTGAAAAAGTTGGTTTTAAGAATTTCTTTATGCATGTGATGCAAAACAATTGCTAGTTTATCATGAGTGCTGACATAAATGCAATTAGTGCAGGAAAAATAGTAAAATTAGTATAGTTAGTGTCTCTAAAACATGAAAAATAATAGTGTGAGCAGTGTAAATTCATTTTAAAGTACTGAAATATGACATAGACTAAATATCAGAAAATGTAAGAAATATTTTGGTATGTGTGGATGAAACACTGAACGTGGTTGTAAAATTAGAAATGAAAATTATCAACACACTTAAAGGTAATCGGGATTTAAAACTAAACATGATGTTAGAAACTTTGAAGACCATAAAACTATATGAGAAAGAAATACATTTAGATATAAATGGTATTAAACTGTAAAGTTTGTGAATGGAAATTTCTGAGTAAAAACCTGTAGATGATCTATTATGATCGAGGAATAAAACAAGTATTATAAAAATTGTAAGGAAATATTTGAATATGGAGTAAATGAAAACAATCCATATCGTTAAAATGAATAAAAAGGGATAAAATGTTGGAATTACGAGTGATGAGACAGAAATAAAAACATTATAATAAATAAGTTAAGCTAGAATTAAGAAATATAAACACAGAAGGGAAATCATGAACGTAAGAAAAGCAATTAGCAGTTATAGACTTAAGTTTTTTTAAAAAATATTCGGTAATGTGAGGAAGATATTGTTAAATACGTGAAAGAAATTAGAAATTCTGTAGAAAATTTAGTAAATGAACTAAGATCATGAAAAAAAACGTTTCTTTTTAAATACAATTTCATACCACTAAGTTAAAGTGTGTATAGAATACTAGAATGGTTTAAAAAAAGTAAATGAAGTTAAAATTCAGAATATATTGAACATTATAACGTTAAAAAAAGTGTGAAATTGCATCTAAAATTAAGTAATGTAACAAATAAACAGCACGTGCGGGAACGTTTGTGAAATATAACGTATAAGTTAAAAATCAGGTATTCTGAAATTTATGAAAGGTATGAAAAAAAGTAGTATGTGGAAATTAAATAAAATATTACAAATAAATTAGAAACATTAAGTATTAAAAAAATATGACAGTAAATGAATATGTTATTATGAAACAGAAAACCTGAGAAATAAGTTAAAGTTTCATGAAAAACTAGAAAGGATAAAAGTATCAGAATAAATTGATGAGTCGATTCAAATTCCATTTTCTTAAATAGGCTTTTTTACCTGAATCTGAATGTATCACATCAGCTTAGTGGTTAAAATCTTCAAACTACTGAGCTGGTGAGATATTTTGTTTGAGAGTTCAATTCTATATTTTGAATAATAGAATATTTTTTTTTAAAGAAATTTCTAAAATAAATTATTTTCTTTTTTCGTCCGTAGAGGACGCCATGAGCAATTCCTAAACAGATTATTTTCATTTTTCATCCCTAGAGGACGGCATGACTCCGTTGCCAAATTAAAAAAACTAACTTTTAATGAAAAGCAGGAGGTCTACAACTCAACCAGCAATCTACCAACACCTCAACTCCTCTCGTGACCACGCCTCCTAGTGTGATGACGTTGCCTTTGGTCCCGCCCTCTGTGTGACGTCATTGGCCACGCCCACACCGCACACCGCGTGTCGGTGAACCCGTATTTTCTATCTACTACCGAGTTCGCAAAACAACAGAATATAGTAATACATGCGGCAATAAGTAATAGAATTTAAATTACTGGTTGCAAAACAAACTGGATATATTGTCTTTAAGCGATATAAAATCTTAACTAAAGCACCACCCTAGGACGAAAATTTCTGCGATTTTACAGTTATAAATTACCTACTCTCGTTTTCTATTTTGGATACCGGGACATCTCTCAATACAGCTTTAGATAAAAGAGCTTACAACGTGAGATCCATATTACATGGGGTTGAAGAACAAGATACTTACATTCTGTCTATGTGTAGGAACTTCATATCCATGGAATGGATGGTTGTGAAGACACTTGTGCTGCCCTGGACGACGCATTCCCTAGTTTCGGGCATGGCAACTGGGGTGCAAGTGGCTAGAAACACGGGTTCGTTACGACTACATAGAGGGAGGAAGCTCACAAAATGACCCTCTACCAGCACAACCTAAAAAATACAAGAGACCGTTAAAGTATTGCAAGTTGCTGTGTCCATTATGAACTATTGCAAATCATAGCTTATTTTAGGCAACTTCAAAAAGTGGATACCAAAATAACACTCTGTTTCATACATATAAATGTAACGAATGTTAATTTATGGTATAGTTTAAAAGGTCCTTTCTCTTCAGAATGCGTGTCCATCCAATATTTTTTGTTTTGTTTTGTTTTGTTTTGTTTTGTTTAGAACAAGTAACATTGCTTATAATATAAGATATGAATCATAAAACAAACGAAAATAGCAGTCATTAAAATGGCGAACATACTTTCTTAAACTGCACATGCAGTCAGAGCACAAAAATGCAAAATAGGCGTGATTTGTTAGTTGTAAATAAAAGCGAAAGCTCCATAATACGGTGTATCTGCGTAGTACAGTAAAATGAACAGAATTTTACCTCTTAATTTACAAAATACTGACAAAAAAGCTCAAAACTGAGGATTTGCATTGAATACATATGATATATATACATATTGGTTATAAATGGTGTGAAGGTTATAAATGAAACAAACTGTTTAAAAGCGGGAAAAGTTTTTTATGTGCGTTTAATTATATATACATGTAAACTGTTAGCCATATGAAAATTGCTGATAAGTTAGGCCGAATAAATACTACCCATCAGAAAATAAGGGGCACATGTCTTTTATTTACTTCGTACTATATAATCTTAATGTATCAATAGCCCCATTTTGCATGTTTTCAAGCAGATTGTCACAGTTTATATTAGTCATCTTAAACTCAAACTGCAAGCACGTCGAACGCATCACCTGAAAACAAATGACGGGGCAGAATTTTTTTTTTTTTTTTTTTTTTTTTTTTTTTTTAAGTGAACAGCTTTACTAACATAATAAAATAGATTTTAAATAAATTTTAAATTTCGCTTACTAAATATTTATCAGCACATACTATATAAAAAATACAATTGTATTGTAAATGGAAAAAAAAAAAAAAAAAAAAAAAATTAGATTTACTTTCTGTCTGAAATCTAGAGTCTTGTAATCGTAAGGCATTTTTGTTGCTTTCAACTTTGTAATTCAAATATACTGACAACTAAATATTAAATTCTAAGACTGATATTTCCTTCAAATAATTCCAACGTATTTAATTAGTGAATAAATTAATTAATTTAAACTAAAAATAAACAAATTAAGAACTTTCTAAGTTTCCAGAGAAAATTTACCAAGTGAAATGGAAGTTCATTAGGAATAATAACAATTTAGTCTCCTTCCCTTATTTATTAAATTTTTCCTCGATGCATAAATAAAAATCTTATATACAAACCACGTGACTTCCTTGTACGGAATATTAAATTATACGCATATTTTTCTGCACTTCTTTAAACTTAGTTCCTCGAATTTCGTTACAGATATATTTCTCATTCAATTAATTCAGTTCTCACTTCGTGGGAAGGCAAAGATACATAAACACTCAAAACATCTTTATTAAAAATTGAAAAATATAGATAAACATAAAACACCAAATAGAGTTAAAAACAATTTAAAAAAATTTACAATTAAAATTAGAGTTTCTACGTAAAAATAAGTAATTCGGCCAGTGGGTAAGAAGGCATATTTTTCGGTGCACAAAACTAAAAGTTTATTTTTCCTCTCACTCCGCAAAAAGACACTGAAGAAGCAGAAACTGACTTAATTCACTATTCTGCTAATAAAGTTTGAAATGGAAACAAATGTCGCTCTCGTTAGTCTTAGAAAATTTAAACAATTTTTAAATTCTTGATAATTCTACAACTATTGCATACAAATTTACAAAAGACATAAAAACCTTAATTGGAACAAAAGAACAACATAATTCATTCATCAACATAAAGCAAAAAAATACACAATTTACCACCATATAACTATTAAAATAATGAACTCATCGAGCCGAGTAACAGAGTGGGTATACATATATATTTAAATTTGGTGTGGCAGATTGCAACCAAAAAGAGAGATGCACAATTGTATGCTATAGTTATATGCAGAATTTCAAGGTTCTGAGGCTACTCGTTTTTGAGTTATGCGAGATACATACCTACATTTGTACTTACAGACGTCACGAAAAATTATCTTCTAAAGCCATTTTAAATCAATTTTATAAGCCATTTGGGGAAAAAGAGTCCTTTACTCTGTCCTTACGTACAGATGTCACGCAAAAATGTCGTTAAATTGCATTAGACAGCGGTCAAAATAGATATTTTCGTTGAAATGTAATACTCGAAAATTTTCGCGATTAAAATAGTTCCTTTGCTTCATACAAGGAAGTAAAAATACATGTGTTTGGTATGTAAATAATTACAAACTTATTTCTTGACACTTGAAATCATATCGATTCTGATAAAGTTTGTAGTCTTGGAGAGGAATTAATAAAAATTACCTTCGGATTGTAAATCGGATTCTAGACTCTTACAGGATTGTAGATCGGTCATTCAGGTTCTTTTCTTGTTAATTCTCAACTGTGAATAAAAGCTGTTCCGTATAAATGCTTTCACAAGCAAAACGATTATTTTTTATATAAAAATTGGTAACTGAGTTTGTTTATATTTTGACAAGTACGATTAAATGTTAATGAAATCTGTATCTTCAAATCTTTGAATAAGATTCATGCCACATTGTAAATTAACTGCAAATTAATTACCTCCATTTATAGATTTACTGAAGCATTATTCATGCTCGTTTTGAACAGAAGTAAAAATACTATAAACTCGGACTTCAAATAATTAAAAGCTTGAAATCTTTCCTAATCCGTATTTGGAACAAACACGTATAATTGATATGATTCTTGAGCCGCGTAAAGTTGCTTTGGGGGCCGCTACTTTGAACCCACTGGTTTTATTTGACTTATGAAATATCAAACTGTTGAAGCAATGTATAAGGAAATTTAAAAAAAAAAAAAAAAATTGTTAAAACAATCAGTGATAGGCAACTGGTATTCTTCTTACGAGCAATGCAAAAAAAGAGCAACATGTTGGAAAAATGTGATGAAAAATATTAACTTTTAGGTTTTCTTTAGAACTTACAACTAAACTTTCGTTTTATTAGATACAACAGAAAATTCTCCCTGATTCAATTTCTGATCAATTTAAGATACATATAAGAAACATGGCTAACAGTTTACCACAATTTTACAATTTGGCGTCCACATCACAATCAAATTCTTCTTTCGCACACTTAAGCTAGTCTGAAGCTACCGAATCACGTCTGAAAAGTTTGTTTACTCTCCGTGACCACGAAAAGCCTCTTTTTAGCAGTTATTTTATTGTCAAAAAACCGCCCAACTACCAGGTAAATGGCTTTCCGTGGCTAGAACACATTCCGCAGTCCCAGTTGCCCCAATTGCTGCTTTAAAAATCTGATTCCTGGAACCCTTTATGAAGAACAAACCTCTTCTGCCGCGATGAGTTTCTTTGTGGTTGCAAATGACTGACCAGCCAGAATGGGAGTGCAGTACAAAGTAGTCGGCAGAGATCACAGAAATTTCCGTAATGATTCTCCTATGATATCTACTCCTTCAAGATCGCCGCCTCTATAGAGCTGACGGGTGAAGATTACGCACGCAACAGCAAAGCTGTAGGCTACTCACTGGAAGTTACTCCTCCGATATTCCGTTCTCTTTACCCTCAACAGAACCCCTAATGAGACAAAAGATTTACCGTTCGGGAGTAGCACTTATACTGGAAAAGCATCGGATTATGTTGCCAGAAACAGGTCTTTAATTTCTCCAACAAAATGATATCATTGTTTTATTATCTTAGCTTTCTTAGGAAGGGTGCCTTTTGTTCTTGCTCCAAACAGAGAGAGGGACTGTATTTTTCATAAAAACTTTCCTAACTCACGGGCTATATTTTCTTATAATTACTTTTAGCAATAATCGGTATCTGTATTTTTTAACAGTCACGAAAACGTTTTAAGAAGCGTTATTTTTTTTAAAAATGGGTCATTTTGACCTTCCTCAGAAATTAAAAAATTATGTAATAGAGAAGATACAAATAATTTGATTATACACCGTGTCCACAGATTTACTTCCCCGATATATCAACCGTTAGCTGTCTAGCCTCTCAACTATTTCAGAATGAAATTTCTGATATTGTTATCCGAAGAAATGCGCCAGAGACTGGGATGATTTAAAAAATAGAGCTGACATGGCAAGGACACGTACCACAGACCTCTCGAAGACGCGTCCAGGGTGCTGACCACACCACGAAGGCATGCTAAGGAGGCCAGAGAAATACCTTATACACTGACAGAGAAAAATTTTTGAATAGCAACAATTTTTTTTTTTTTTTTTTTTTTTTTTTTTTTTTTTTTTGCGCAAATTGATTAGCGCATCGAAAACCATAAATGGCATTGGAAAGATTAGACATCTGAAAACATTTGCAAAAAAGAGCATTGTAGAGGACCCACTGACAACACAAGAAAGTGCAGGGAAAAGAACTTTCATTGCAATTATAAGTTTTCAGAGTGTACCACGTTTCAACATAGAGTCATGTACCGTAACTTCTCAGTTTCGTGGCCATGCGATTTCCCGACCTCACTCCGGTAGATTTCTGGCTCTGGGATTATCTGAAGACGCCCTCATCAAATCCACGAGATTTGTCATCGTTAAAAGATGCCATAAAACATGAAGTTATACAGATTCATCCTGCGATGCTAAGTTTGTCATTGTTATCAACAAACTCTCGTATGCGATGCGTTATCGTCTGTGAAGGTGGGCACGTTGAAAACTTTTTATTCCAATAAAAGTATATTTCGATTCTTCTCTCTTGTACTGTCACTGGTGGTATTTTTAATGCTTTTCTTTGCAAATATATTAGCCAGCAATTTTCTTCATACGTGTATCGTTTCACCGCCATTTATGGTTCTTCTATGCGCAGCGAGGAAAAAATGGCTGTTGCATTCGAAAAGTTTCACTATAACCGTAACGGTTGCAACTCTATTGTTTTAAATTATCATAATGTCGAAGGTATGGCTTCAAATAATAGTATACGAAATTTCATTTCGATTGGCTGAGCGGTTAGCTCTCTTTTAATTCATATATCGGAAAAATTTTCTTATTATTCCTTGTACTTCCAATAAAAAGAATGTTTTAGATGACGCAAGGATTCACGTTTCGACCTTTTTACATTTAAAGAAACCAGTTTTATGAAAATTACGAAGTCTAACTTTTTATATGTCTTCCCTATCCCTGTGCTTGTATTTAGGAAAATGTTACAATCCTTATAAGAAGAAAAACACGAAAAAATTCATTCTCGTGTGATCAAAATGGACTAAGACATTAAATTCCAAAATTTACTATTTCTGACCTCATTTTCAATTTAGTTAATATCAATTAATGTTAAGTTAATTCGAAGTTGGTTTTTGACCCCCTTAAATGCTATTCAGTAATATACTTTTGTGATTTATTAGTGCCTTTATTTATAATTTTTAATATTTGGTATGCCAAAAGAATGTTTACGTAAGTAAATGATACGTTTTCAAAGTTGCACTATTAATATTCTCCTGAAGTTTTATTATATTAGAATCGTAATCTGAGGATCCAAGTACAAATAGATTTCATTTTTAATTGAACGTAGCACATTTTTATCATTATTTATCTTATTGTAATGTGATTAGATTCGAAAACAATACTGCATAAATATTTTGATTATAGTTTTATTATATATATTTTTTAGTGGAAACTTTCAACCTCATTTTTCAGGTTTCCGAGATATACCCTAACAACCCTTGTTATCATCTTTCAAAAATCTTAGCCATTAATAATATTTAGTCATAATTTTGAAGCTATGGAAGTAGATTTGTTTAACTTCGTCTTCTCAAAATTAAAATCTTGGATTTTTGAAAATATTTTCGCATTGGAAGTTAGTATCAATTAAAAGTTAGTTAAAACTTCAAATAGATGTATTTCCCTATGTACTGAGAAAAAATCTAACTACTACTCTAATTAAACTCATCTTCCTTTACATTTATAGGAGATGACAGAAAACGAAGGTTGAATTGGAAAAAATACCAAAGGCATTTTCCGGGTTGAGCTAAATCGGAATAAAAGCATAAAGGCTGTTTGAAGAAAATGTTGATTTCAGATATCACCTTTTTATATAGCGGGTGGTTCGATTCTCGGCAAATGGGCTAGTTGCGTGTGATTTTTCGTGAATTTCCCCATGTGCAACGTAAATATGGCTTCTTTCATGGCGTAATTGGAAGCATATTCGGCTCGCAGTTGGAACATTCGGCGTTCGATTTCATTCGTTTGTTCCAATTCGTCTTCGCTGAATTTTCATCTTTCCTGTTTTGAAACATTTAGTAGACAGTACAATATTTGCGACCGAGCGGTAAAATCCCTGAATACTGACAGTTCGAAAGGGGCTCAAATGTCGACGAACTGCATTTACATGGGCATTTTCCTGCTATTCCCCGTGTATAATGCGGATTTGAGTCAGTTTTCCTTAGAACTTTAAATTATTTCAATATGGCAAAGCTCACGATGGCTATCTGCCTAACAGGAGGAATGTCTTCGTGGAGGACTTTCTAAGGGATCGTTTGTATTCACGTATGCTGCTGCCGATCCTTTGCAGGTACTGAAAAATAGCAATTTAATCAAGTTCTTTTCCTTTTCGTTATGCATCTTTGTTAATTATAAACTTTATCTATTATACACTGATGTTAATAATTGACGATGTCGGCACTATGCAATGTCGGTAACGTACTTCGGAAAATTTTGTACAAATGGCAACTGTTTACTCTTTCTTCTTATCCTTTTACTTCTTATTGCATCATTTAGCGTAAGCACTAAGAATTTTCTTTTAACTTATTATCCACTTATATTTGGTGTGTGTATGTGTGTGGCAAATCATATACAAATAACTACTGTCGGTCGTATGTCGGTATCCAGTCTACACAGTATGACGGTATGTCATGTCTCATCCTGTGAAATGTCGATTCTACGCAGAGATGGTTTTATGCAGTGTTGATCGTACGAAATGTGGATCCTCTGAAATGTCGATTCTTTGCAGTGTTGATCAAGTGCAATGCCGATTCTACGCAATGTCGATGCTATGTAGTGTCGATTATACACTGTGTCGATCACGTGCTCTGTCGATTCTGCGTACTGTCGATCCTGTGCAGTGTAGATTCTGTGAATGTGAGCGTAATAATTATTTTAATCCGAATAACTTTTGCATAATGGAAATATCGATATTATACTCACAAGTGAAAAGGAATATTGATATGCAAAAGAATTCCAAAGCTTCCGGCACGGCGTGCCGGAAGCTTTGGAAGGTCTTGATGTTGTTACGATATCGGCTGCACACAGTCTTCGACGAGTTCTTCGTTTCCTAATGAACAGAAAATAGCCGCTGGTGAGAGAACGAAAGAGGAGGCGGGAAACCGTAAGAGGGGAGTTGCTTTGATATCAAAATTTGCTCGGGTCGCCCCACCCCCTGAACCCGCGAGAGGTCACGAGGTCGAGAGATGGGCTCGTAAATCAATAAATACGAGGATCCTGTTGGGGGTCAAGCCTCGGGGGCACTCCCACGCCACCTGGGATGACCCTCAGTTAGGATTTTTCCAATGCTCCGCGTTTTCTTGGGTGCTGATTGAGTGCGATACGGGTCTGGGAAAGTTATTACATAACTTTTCTGTGCTGGAATTTATTGTCTGTTTATTTGTTCTTTTGATTGCTGACTTGATGATGTTTCAGTTAAAATTTAATATTCTCGTTTCCCTCTTCCCTGCTTCTTAAGAAGAAAGAATTCCAAATGAGAGAAAGCTGTGGAATATTTCGTTAGTATGACGGGGAGAATAATAGGAAGCGGGTAATAATAACTGACGATAGAGAATGACTTGTATTTAATTTCTAGACAGAGAAAACTCTCCGCAAGAGGGTAATAAATATAGTTAAAAGTCTCCGCAAGAGTGTAATAAATATGGTTAAATGTGGTCTCGTATTTTTCAGTTTTCCCAAAAAATAAAATGACTCTTCTTGAGAAAAAAGAATTTGTAGACAATGCCTATATGCATTTGAGTTTATTGTGGCACAGCATGTCTTCATAACCGTGTCCTGCCATAAAAGTGCCCGAACTTTTATGTAAGTCAGACATAGTACGGAAAGACAAACTTTCATGAGGAAACAGCAATATAAGTATGCTAACACCTTTGGGAAATCATTTTCTAACTCTAAAAAACAGTCTTCAGAAAGATGTCTGCACCACCGATGGATGGGGTTCGTAAAATTGGTGCGGGAAGCCTGAAAAGGTTCCAGCACCCTTTTCACGCTATCCGTCTTTTCCCAATGCGCAACGATTCCACGGCATAAAGTTTTCAGCATCACTAGGAAGTTCGGTATCGTGAGGAAAATATCCGTCTTGATCCGTCCTGATCAGGATTGCCCGGCCATCTATGCAAAGGTTAGCCCTAGCTAGGAATCGTCAACATGCACAAACATGTTGGTACCTGACTCAAGTTAGCAATTGCTCGCCAAGACACAGGAGCGGTCTGTCATAAAGTTACAAATGTGCTGGCATCCACATGAACACTCATCAAGGCTGCGGAGTTCTTAATCTTGAAGAGCCGTTGTCTGTTCCATAAAGTTGCCGGCACTTTTGCAATATTCTATGAAATCATTCATGTGGCGGGACATGAAAAATGCATTGCTTTTGTGCAAGGGAGCAACGAATTAGATCCAATAATTCTGAATTCGCGACGAGCTAATGACATCATGGTTAAGTCTTTGAGTTCAATACGGTTCCCATTAGTTTATGGGCCTACCAGCGGCCGAGCGGTAAAATCGCTGAACACTGGTAGTTCGGTCTGAGGTTCGAATCCCGCAAACGGGCTGGCTGCATGGGCGTTTTCGTGGTTTTCCCCATGTGTACCGTGTATACGAGCCAGTTTCCCTTAGAAAGTCCTCCACGAAGGCATCCCTCCCCCTTAGGCAGATAGCCCTAGTGTGCTTTGCCGTATTCTCAATACACCACACCACCACCCATTAGTTTATCTTCTGATTCTTTTTAGGATGCAATTAAATCTTTTTCTTCTTTTTCTTTGAGTTTACCGTTTTTTGATGCACGAATTCTACAATTATGATTAACATTTCATTTTTTTTAACCGTCGGTATCAGGTAATAAATCAGCATCACACGCACCTGCTCCTCGGGAAATTTCGCTAGTGCTCGCTAATGCTCGCTAATGCTAATGCTCGGCTAATGCTATCTGTCCCAGGTTGACATCTTTAAGCCAGGAAACCACTTGCAAATAGGGTTTTAATTTGCAATCTGATTAGTAAAGTAAATGAAAATTATACGTGCATTTCACTGACCAAATGAGAAATATTACATTATAGTGACTACAGCTTTACAAAGGTTACTTTTTTAAAAAAAGGCTGGATATGGATACAAGTAACTTTTTAGTGCGGCCAATTAAATTATACACTTTTTTTCACTTCATTTAAACTTATTTCTTCGAAATGTTTTAAATTAACTAATCGATCCCTCGAGGCGGACTGATAATGACATCAAAACCTGCAAATTTCAAAAGTGAATATCCCAGTCAATTTTGTTTTACGGGAGTCAAACTTCTTAGTGTTTTAGTGTTTTATTTTCTTGTAACCAGTATAAAACTTTTCCAGATTTAGTATAGGAACTAGGAGATCGCATTAAAAGTTAAATTTTTGTTATTTGTCGAAAAAAAAATTTTTTTTCCAAGTTTACATTGCCAAAGCAGGAAAAATTTTTTCATTTAATATACTTCTGTAATTGGAAGAACGTATACGACTACAAACTATGATTACGAAATAAAGCCCTGGTAAAGAGGTTTTTAAGCCAGTTAAGGGAGTAGGTATATAGTTGTATATACATATATAGTGGTACTTGCGATAAAAAGGAAAGAGAGATGCATAACTAAGATGTTATAGTTTCAGCAAAAATTCGAATAAACAAGTACATACCTTCTGATCGCCGAACCTCATTTGCCTTCTGGCGTTCCGGGAAACGTTCATCCGACAAAGGAACATTCGACTATCGTTCATGAGGTTCAGCGGATTGGAGCTGCGCATCAGCTCCGTCTGTATGGCCTGGTGGTCTTGCTTCTCGATGATATCGTAGACACTGTCGCCGTGGATTAGCAGATCCTCCTGCAATATAAGAATAATCGTTACATGCAAATACCTCTCTTACTTTCTGTAAAACAAGAGCAAAATCTGGTATAATAGTAAGTTTTGGGCATTAATTTTCAGTTGTCTTAAAGAGAAATGTCTGCCGATTGTCCAGTGGCTACAACCGTGAAAGAATGGTAATTCACACCAGTTTCTGTTGCAACTGTGCCCATCAGTGTTCAAATTCTAGCGATTGTTTTTTTTTTTTTTTTTCCCTATGTGTAAACTGAATGTGGGCCGATTTCCCTTAGAAAGTTCTTTATGAAGTCCTTCAATTTCTTAGACAGATTGCTCTTTTGTATTTTGTCTTAAATCAATTCATCTGATATAATCTATAACCAACTATTAAATGAACAAGTTCCATGGGATGCAAATGAATGGAGACGAACATTTTTTGATAAATCCTCCACGATAGCATTTCATCCTTTTAAGCGTATTATCCAAGTATGTTTAGTTGTAATTAAAAATTCAAATTCAAACCTCAACGAAAATAGTGTTAACCTCTTAAAGAGCACATTCCAATTAACTCTAGTGAACGATACTAGAAATATGGACAGTCTAATTTACTCGAGAAGGCGTTATATGCAGAAGTATGCGCTCTCGAGTTAACTCCAGCAGCTCTGCATTTTATGTCACCATAATTACACATGGGCAGCGAATAATAATTTTAAGAAAGTCGAGATTGTAGAATAGAAAATTGTACTATTTCCCTGTTTTACAAAAATTTTTAATAATTTCCAAACGTGCATTGTGATTATTTGCATGCACCCATTCGACAAATGTCATATTTCCTTTTCCCTAGATTTTCAGCCCCAGCTTCTGAAAGTTTTTAAAATATTCGTAAAAATTTCCGCTTCCCCGAGGCATTCAGAGAACGAATTCCTCTAAATCAGGAATCTCTAACTTGTTAATACTTTAGAGCACACTGTAATATGTTACTAACGGGAAGGCGGGCACTTGTGCATTTTCAGAGTTAATGTCTGGGCTGACATAGTTAATAATACACATAACATACAAAAAAGTATTCCAAAAATATAATATTAAGATATAAAAATTACTGATAATATTTTTATAATTCTTTGTAAAAAATATAATTTTGAAATTAATCATGATATTCGCAATTGTATTTCATTGGCCGTTGCTTCATATTTAAAAGGATATGATGATGTTCCTTTTGGTAAGCAGTCATCGAGATCCTCATCTATAAGTCGAAATCTGTACTTTCATTTTATGACATTCATTAATGATTCACACAAGTATGTTAAACCAAAAAACGATTTTGTCGTGTACGATGCTTTTTTCTATTTTGCTTTATAGAAGTAGATGTTGAATGTTGTTGTCTATCTCTCCATTTGATGTTTTGATATTATTTTCTATTCTAGCAACTTTGCATTTTCAAGAATGGAAATTTGTTTCTGTCAGCTATTTTCAAGAAGTCCTCAAGTTATACACTGTATTTTAGGACAATGCTATTTTGAAGATACAAAATTTTTAGCTCCATTTCTTCCGTTCTTGCTTGAATAAGCTCTGCAACGCATGCAGTTACTTCGATTACATTTACTCAGTAAGTAAAAGGATTGATGAAAAACGTAACCATCGACCCGATAATATTAAACTGTTAAAATAGTTTTCGAGCTGGTCTTGAAGTAATTGAAAGTTGATTACAAATAAGAACAAGTGAGACTTCGCCTATCGTTTTTTCCTATTTGGGAAATGCCAAATGACTTCATCTGCAGATGAGACATCCACAAAACTAGTTCAGCTTTAAATGACCTAACAGACCCTATCATCAAAGCTATATGTTTATCTTTTTCCTGCAGCTCCAAATTTAAATAATTAAACTCATCAATGACGTCTGTGATGAAACCTAAATCAGCCAGCTAGTAAAAGTCCGTTCGTTTTTTTTTTTGTTTTTTTTAGTGATTTTTGGTATTGAGATAATTTTTTATGTCTTCAGTAAAGTTTACAAATCTTGCAAGAGCCAATGTACTTCAATATGCAGAATAAGATAATAATTTTCAGGATTTTCTTACAGGGTCTTAAAAAGGCGGTATTCCAAAGGGCTGCTCCAATAAAGATTAATTTTTGTAATTATTTTCATAGCATTCCTGGAGAGCAATATTCTACCACGCAGAGCTTTCTGGAAGAGAATACAGTGATACTAGTAGATAGAAAACACGGGTTCACCGACACGCGGTGTGGGGTGTGGGCGTGGCCAACGACGTCACACAGAGGGCGGGACCAAAGGCAACGTCATCACACCAGGAGGCGTGGATCCGAGTGGAGTTGAGTTTTTTTGATTGCTGAGGAGTTGTAGACTCCTGCTTTCATTAAAGTAGTTTTTTTTAAATGGCAACGGGAAATATTTCTGCATCTTAATTTTGATGATATAGCGATGCTGCCCTCTATTAATGAAAAACTGAATGTAGTTTAGAATATATTTTTAAGTCTGGTGTTAAAATTATTCAATGAGCGACTCTGAAACAAGTAAAAGAAACAAATATAAAGAAACAGACTTTCCTTTAAGGAAACTACAAGATTTTTTTTTATTACCAATTTTATTCTGATACTTTTATTCTTTCTAGTTTCCATGAAACTTTAACTATGTCTCGGTTTCTTTCATATAACATATTATTACTGTCTATTTTTTAATACTTAACGTTTCTAATTTGTAATATTTTATTTAATTTCCACATACTTTTTTTTTTCATACCTTTCATACCATTCAGCATACCCTGATTTTAATATATTATATTTCACAAAACGTTCCGCACATGCGTTTATTGTTACACTACTTAATTTTAGATGCAATTTCACACTTTTTTAACGTTATAATGTTCAATATATTCTGAATTTAACTTCATTTACTTTTTTAAACCATTCTGTATTTATACACACTTTAACTTAGGGGTTTGAAATTCTATTTAAAAAAGACACGTTTATTTTCGTGATCTTAGTTTTTTACTAAATTCTACAGAATTTCTAATTTTTTTACATTTAACAATACTTCCTTACATTACCGAATATTTTTTTAAAACACTTAGTCTATAACTGTTTAATTGCGTTTCTTACGTCATGATTTCCCTCTGTGTTTATATTTCTTAATTCTAGTTTAAATATTATTATAATGTTTATTTCTGTCTCATCATTCGTAATTCCAACATTTATCTTTTATCATTTTAACGATATGGATTGTTTTCATTTACTCCATATTCAATTTTCCTTACAATTTTTAAAATACTTGTTTTATTCTCATCTAATAGATCATCTACAGGTTTTACTCGAAATTTCCATTCACAACTTTACAGTTAATACCATTTATATCTAAATGTATTTCTTTCTCAATAGTTTATGGTCTTAAAGTTCTAACATCATGTTTAGTTTTAAATCCCGATTACTTTAAGTGTGTTGATAATTTCATTTCTAATTTTACAACCACGTTTAGTGTTCATCCCACCATACCAAATATTTTTACATCTTCTTATTTAGTCTAGGTCATATTTCAGTACTTCAGTGAATTTCACTGCTCACACTATTATTTTTCATGTTTTAGAGACACTGACTATATTAATTTTACTATTTTTCATACACTAATTGCATCTATGTCAGCACTCATGATAAAGTGCAATTGTTTGCATCACATACATAAAGAAATTCTTAAAACCAACTTTTCAATATCGTATTCAAATTACTGTTTTCCAGAGGGAATTACCAGTATTCTTTGGTTTTACTCTGTTACATCTTTTTAAATTTTAACATCGTACTTTAATTCCAACATACATCTTTCGAACAGTTTTTTCTTTTAATAATAGCTTACCTATTTGTTCAAATTAATTCTTAATTACCTCTTTATACCTTTCAATACCTTCATATTCACTATGCAAGCATGTCTTTCACTGAATTCTGTTTAATACTACAAGTTTCCTTAATTGACAAAAAGCGAATCATTCTCAGTTCAAAATAGAATACTATTTCGCACAAACATTACCTCATCATTCAAGACACCCCTAACCTGTCACTGACGTAGCGATAGTAAAGGAGACTCTTATCATATGCTCTTTCGACATTTGAAGTTTCTAGAA